ACTTTCGCAGTGTCGTTCATACGCGCACACACACACACAGATATATATACACTCTCACGTTTCTATATATCAATCAATGTAGGGCTTGTCTTTTTCGGCTTCCCTTTTAAATTGTGTGCGCACCCCCCTCTTTCGTCCTGTCACGTTGGAGTGTTTAGTTTATTTTAATTATTCCTGGTTTCGGGTCTCAAGAGAGGGGAGAAGGTTGCGATTGTTTTCGTCATTTCTGCGATTGCATGGGAATGGTGATGATGAGAATGATGATGACGAGAATGAGGATTGTGTCTGGCATAGCTTTGCTTTTGCGCGCTCTGTAGGATTCAGCTGTTTTAGGGCTGCGCGCGCTAGGACGTTCGAACCTTTTTTTCTTTTTTTCTTTTTTTCTCTCTCTTGTCAGGCGGTGGTTGCCCTGGTGCCGGAGTTGTTGCTTTCTTTTGAACTTTGATTTGTTCATGCTTAACTCTTGGCGCGTTTGGTATGGACAATTTATGAAGTTGGCGGTCTAAAAAACGGTAAAGTCGGTGAATTCGGTTTACTGTGTGGTGTACGAGTCTCTTCTGCCCCTTGTTTTTAAGCTTGAGAAATGAGATAGGGATCATATTCGTAACTATGTGATGGAAATGCTATGCATGGCGGGGTTTACTTGATTGGAAGGCCTTTTAGACGTAGTTAGTTATCGCATTTTTTCCGCTTTTAAGTAAGTGTGCAGTTGTCCCTGTTCCCATCTAGCAGCGCAGTGGTCGGTTGTTGTCGGTCCTAAGTTCGTTCGCTGCCTTCAGTGTCTCTTATATTGTCTACTGTCTTTTGTCATTCGTGTCTAAAACTGAAATTGAACTATACTAAGTGTCAGGTATTATTTTTTTGACGCTCTTGAGCAGAAGTTAGTTACTTGAGAACAACCCCGTAAATCAAGTCGGATAACCTTCTGTCATTTGTGTAGAGCTTGCGAGCTCGATTGTTGAAGTGAGTAACGCCTATATATATTTAGATATACACACACACGCTTGGAACTGGTACTGGTTGTAGGTAGTTAGAGAGACAATCGTTTTTTTTTTTTTTTTTTTTTTTTTTTTTTTGGGTTTTGTTTTTTGTTTTTTTAATCCTTATAATAATTATTATATTTAATGAAATCCTCCTCAATATGGATACATTTATAAGTCAGGACTATAGTATTTCATGAACCCGACAGCTGAGTCTTGCTCACAGCATTGAACGGGCATCTGGTAATTCGGACAAGGACTTGTTTGTCGACTGATGATATCTAATGTATTGGATTGTTTACGCATAGACTTAATTCCAGGCAACGGTCTCGCCCATGCCCATTTGCCAATTTGTTTTTGTGGATGACCTAGCTGTACAATTAGTAGAAAGTCTGGCATTTTTCTGTTCCTAATCTTGGCGTAAGTTATAGATTTTTATTGTTCCTGATCAGTCAAAGTGGAATTCCAGCCAACCTTGTAGGAATAGTGGTGGACTTTCGTTTCCTGTTAATTTTTTTAGAAAATAAAAAATGAATGAACTGTTGAAGTTTATCATTGAGTTATCAAAACGAATTTCAGCTAAGTGTTACGTATGGGATTTATTGCAAGTGTTAATGAATTGTGCTATATCGTTTAATGACATTTTCTGCGTTAGCAATGTTGAGTGATTGTTTTGGTGTTTCTGATATCACCTTGAGTTCACATGACCTGTCAAGATAACAAAGTTTGATTGTATTCTTGGACTCTGGTCACGTGGCGCTGATCTCGAGCTCGTGCTTTGTATTGGATAGCAGGAACTGATCTCTGGAATCTGTGACGAGGAAACACGAACCCTTCTGAGACCAGTATTTTGGCAGGGTACGTGCTTTCATGCTTACTTTGAATTCCGAGAAATGGCTACCAAAGACTTGGTACGAACCATTGTCGTTCTATCCTCGAAATTACTGGAGGTATTGCCTTTGGTGAATTTCATGATAGTCGTGCAATTTTTCAACTTCTTGAAATGGTTTGGGGCGCACGATTACTAAACATGACTTTTGAGACTGCTAATGGCATGGCGCCTCGCGTCATAATCTCCAATCAGCAGAGTCTATTTCTTCTATTGGGTGTCCAGCTGACTCTCGACATACAGAATTTTATTCACAGGTCGGTTTCTAATTGAGGAAAAGAAGTAATCTGCGCCTCACGAGCGAGCGAAGCCGGGGATCACAATTGCCACCGCAGTCAGAATGACAGCCCTAGTGGCCCGCACAGGCCGTCACCAACAACGTTACGAACATGGCCATCGTCTTATTGCTGGGTGCGTTGATATGTTAGTTGAAGTATATATCCATGATTGTTTTTCTATGAAAGAATCTCGTAAAAAAAATGTCGCCACATGATTTGTGAATGGTTTGGTTTTCGTGTGTATCATTAAGAACCAATGGGCTGAACAATCCGTAATCCTTACAACGTGAGTTATTTTCGGTTGCAGGTGTATTCCGTACAGGTACATACCAACCGGGGAAGGCAAGTCAATGGAAGTTCTCATGATCTCTTCGAAAAGGGGTGAGGGGTTGTTGTTTCCCAAGGTTCGAATCTCATATCATACTCTTTACTTTCTGATGTTATCAATTTAAGAAATTATTTCCCTCTGGTATGATTTAACGGTAGGATGCAGCGTATTTAGAGTGATTTTTTTAGGGGTGGTTGCAAGGGATCAGAATCTGTGCTCAAGTTTTTGTTCTTTTGTGCACAAGTCTACCACCCAAATGTTGCTCTTTCCTGTCAAGGGTTCCCATTTTTACCTGTGAAAGCATCTATAATGATTTGGAACGTAACTAACGGTTGGAGAGATTGGTTGGTGTTATTACTCAACTTCTCATCAATTGCAGTACTTAGAAATATTGGTTGAAGCAACTCTAACTAGTTGAACTCTGTCGATTCGACACGAATGGATTTTGTCCATCCCACCAGGGTGGTTGGGAAACTGACGAAACTGTAGAAGAGGCTGCTTGTCGGGAAGCGCTTGAAGAGGCTGGAGTTCGAGGCCATCTACAGGTGTCATTTCTCATCTTTTGTGGTGTAACAACAGTGATTTTAGAAGCATTACTCGGTTGGGTTTACTTTGTGTATTTTGCACAAAGTAAAAGTCTCAGCTTTGGTCGTGGAGAGCCTAGTATAATTACTCTATTTTTATACCAGGAAATCGAACTCCCGTCTATGCAGATTTTTAAGAAATCAACAATATCCATGCGCAATCGCATGTATTTATGGCGTGTGTTTCAATCCACCTGCAAGCTCAATGTGACTAGAAGGCAGCTGATACTCTATTACCGATTATGATGTGTACATGTTGGCAAGTCTAAGCACGTGAAAACGAGATCTAATTTGCTGGGGTTTGTGCACCGACAGCTTGTACATGAACTGCCTCATACAGAGATACCAAACATTACTTAGTAAAAATTGTACTTCCGAATTCATTACCTGTGGTTCTAATAGGTGTATTTCCTCTTCCATTGCGTAGGGCTTTCTTGGTACTTGGAATTTCAAGAGCAAGCGGCAACAAGGTGTTCTCTGCCCTGAAGGAAACTGCCGGGCTTATATGTTCGCATTGGATGTGACAGAGCAACTTGACACTTGGCCTGAGCAACATTCTCGTCGAAGGCAATGGGTAAGCTCCTGGTTAACCTGTGTCACCGTCTATGTGTCTGACTTATGCATGGACTCGTACTTTAAAGGAGGTTCCAAGTTTTGATCACGGACATACCTCATGTCCTTGCATGGTGGCAACTTTGAATCTAGGGGTGCAACATGCAAGGATCTTGTTGAGATGATGTGATTGTCTGATTCTCCGTATATGGTAGTTTTAACAAGGTGTTTAGATGGTTGCATCATAATTAGCTTTGTATCTTGTCTATAGTTGTAACTCTGATGAGTGCCCATCAGTGCTTATTTGGGATTCAGGTGGCTGGATTACTCACTTGTCGTAAAGTTTGTGTCAAGGAGGTCCCTACCTTTAAGAGTATTTATAATCATGCTTTTCTGACGAGCAAGGTTTTTTCAATGGTGGTGGTGCTTTTTCAGTTTTCCGTTTCTGATGCGATTGGACAATGCCGCCATGATTGGATGCGGGGTGCCCTGGACCAATGCGTTGCTTACCTAGCTAGTGAGTTCTATTCACCAAACTTAACTCTTGCTTCTGACACTTCGCTTTTTTTAGAACGCTGGTATTCTGCACAGCGCTCACATTTGGAAGTGATGCTGTATATCAGGAGATTTTCTATTGAGTTCATTGAGGACTGTCAGTTATTAGCACAAAACTCTCTACTAATGGTTGATAGTTGAGTCTTAAGGTGTTGGGTGCATTATGTTCTTAGTTTTTACTTGGAAAATTTTCTATCTCCTTTGTTACACGCATGTCTGCTTTTATTTTATTAATTTGTTTTTGTTTTTTTCTTTTTCACGACGCTTACACTTTCTTCATGGAACATTGCTAGCATGTTGTCGTGGAGTGCTTTTTATCACTAATAATCTCACCATCGGTGCTATGAAAGGGGTGATAAGTTTTTAATGGTTTTAGGTAGGCTTATGTCTGTTGTTTTCTTCTATATTCGTCTAAAATAATATTTGAAACTTCATTTTGTCAGCATGAATTGGTACTCATGTGATTAATTTTCCTAATTTGGCTTTTCAGAGAAATCGTCGGAGTAATTCACTACGGGGTGCTTATGAAGGCACATGTTTATGTCGCATTTTTGGTCAGTGCGGAGTGGCTGGGACTGAACCCACTTACAACCCTTCTGCTGAATGAGTTGTCATGATCTGGACCTTTAGTTTGACGAATTCATTTTCTTTTAACCTTGGTTGTACAATTTCTACCTAACGAATTGAGGAAGGTTTAAGTTTCATGGGTGCAGAGGATTTTTAAAGAACGGATAGAAAAAAAAGAAGTTTTGTCATGTTTGTTGCTTCGCACTTCTGCAGAAGTAATGGGTTTTTCCTTCGCCCATGTTGCCATGGCATGTTCAAAGTCACTTTTTGAACACGAGATTTTTTCCTTGCTTACAGTTTCCCCTTACTAGTTCCCTGTCTGCAGTATCATTACTGAGCAATGTATTGAACAGTGCTTGGATTGCCTGTTCCTGACGTATGATTCAGGTTTCCATAAATGTTATGCCGATTTAATCGTTTTCAATTCATTACAAAATTTCTTCTTATTCTCCTTCTTTTTCATTTTTCTTGATACGGTTTTAGCTAATTATATTAGAGTCATCTTATTATGTTTTTAAATATGGAATTGAATTATGAATTAATGTAAAATATTAGATTATATCTGAATAACGTTTTATTATTTCATGTTTAAGTGTGCCCCTGAGGAACTGTTTAAATTATGTAAGAATAAAATTATGTGGTGCCAATGAATGGCACCTGGATTTGGCAAAAATATTGGTTGTTGATTTTTATATTTAATTATTGTATCTACTAATAACACCATATTATTTTAATCATATCTATTAATATTTCAAATAAAAAAATGTTAAAGATTCTTCTTTTGACATTTATCATGGAATGCAAACTAATAAGTATCAGTATTTCTAATATCTATTAGTAGGGTTTTTTTTTATGAACTAATTAAAAATAACTAGTTATTGTAAAGCAATAAAATTTGTTATACATGTTCTGTTACCTTGTATATATATATATATATATATAGATATATTTATTTATTTATATAAACAGAATACTCAAAATAATTTTTCTATAAAATCTTAAACTAGTGCCATTGTTTTAATTAAAAAACAAATAAACCAAAGGTATTTTGGAGTATAATAATTTAAATCTCACCAACCATTTATATGTATTTTTTTTATTACAATTTTCTTGTGAAAATAAATATATTACATGTTTAAATTATAAAAATAAATATAGTCCTCAGTTCTACTTTTAAATATTTTACAATCTCTATCATGTGTAATACCATTTACAAAGATAATGCATTCATTAAGTAATTATTAAACAAATACTTATTTATTTTTATTTCAAAGATACAACATGTATAATACTCACAATTTAAATTACTATTTATACAAGTGATTAATTTTATTTATTTATTTATTTTTAAATTAAAAAACATCACTCATTATATATATATATATATATATATATATATATTAACATGACTTGTGAGGCCTATGTATACAACATGCAATGAAGATTGAAGAAGTTTATAATACCAAAGTTTGGAAGAGTATTAAGTATCAAAATTTGGAGAAGTATGAGCAACATGAAACATAATTCCAAATAAAGGATTTAATTCACTGCTTGAGCTTAAATGTCTCCTTGGCTTGTTCCAATAACTTTTCAAATCATAGCATCTATACAAAAGAAACATCTACCATGTTATTAGTTGCGGGTTTTTTCAAATTCTATCAACCTCATGTTATATGATTTGTCTTTGATGAGATTATCAATTCTGAAGATATATAATCAAACATGATATGTGAGTTTGATCATAATATAACATATCAAAAAATTGCAAGTAAAAGCCTTGTTGCAACCTTGACAACCATATTTCTCATGTTATATTTAAGAAATCCAAGAAAGATTCTTTAACTTCTAAATAAATTCTTTCTACATGTAAAGATGAAATATTGAAGTATCCAATGATCCTTAGTTTATTATGTCATATGAGCAATTAATTTTTCCAACATATTTTCTTATATCAGAATTCACTCACTCAAATCAGTAATTATATATGAAAGCTTATGAGAAGAAAGTTTTTACCCTAACAAGAATTGCATTACTATATAATGTTGAAAAAAATAATATTAAAATAGGCCAATTACAAGTGGCTCCTAATCTGTACATTAATGATAGAGCTTCAAATGCATGGCATAGATTCACATAAATATTTTGCATTCCTAGCCCCTACAGCAATAGCAACCAAAGTGGACAAAATGATAGCTTGAATGTGAGTTGTCTTTCAAGTTGCATGTTTTAATTTTCAAAAAACAATTTTTTTTTCTAAAAACTATAAAAACTTTATCGATTGGTTTCTAACAATAGTATAAAATTGCTATATAGAAATGATTATGTTGAGCATCAGTAGAATTCAAACTATGAGCATAAAAAAAATAATATATTATACATCAACATGCATGCTACTTGTATTGCAAATAACACAATTGTTTAAATACAAACCATGATTAGATGTATATAAGTTGAATTTAAATAGAAAATCTATATATATATATATATATATATTGATGAAAAAAGAACTAACTATATAGAGATAAGTATACCTTGTGAAGTTGAATGCTAAAATAAAAAAATATATGCCAACAAAGTTGTAAAGCTTGCATATGTTGTAATCATCATCCACCAAACAACATAAGATTCATTCCATATCCAATGTTCTATAATGGTTAATAAAACATATTTGCATAAGTTATTTACAACTAATATATATATATATATATATATATATATATTTATATTTAAAAACTTGTTATTTTTTATTCTAACTTATTTGCTTTTCATTCTCTTTCAAGTTAGGCATGTAAAGAGGTTGTTTAAGGAAATAAAGGCATTGTAGATGGAACCATAAACATATGTGGTATTAAAATTATTATTGTTGTTTCTTTACAAAACTTAACTAAGCAAATTATAAAGGATGTTGAATCCATCTTAGAACTTGGGTACAAAAAGGTTGTCCAACAGTTGAATGGAAGTGCAAACTAGACTTAATAAGAAGAAGTTTTGGAGAAGAACAAACCTTGAATAATAGTGGAAACACCAAGGTGAATTCCTAGGATCAATAATGCTAGAAAATTCTACAATCATGAATGTCAATTTTTAGTCTTTGATGCAATGAACCACTTGCTTTCAATGAAGTTTTGCACCAAAGTGTGCAAGATATTGGAACTAGTGGATCAATTTCAAAGTGTACCAATTACTATATTTATTGCTTTAAAAACTCTATCAATGTTTAGGTCTGATTCAACAACTCAAGCCACCAAAAAAAGTCTAACAAATTCTCTTTTTGTTGATATAAAGACAATCAATTCAACAAAAAATATCAAATATGCAACCAAATTTTTTTTTACATGAGTAAATAGTTTATGAATATTATGAAATTTAGCTTAATAGAATATTAGTATGAGTAGTGAAGACTTTGACTTGATTCTTTATTGATATAAGAATTTATGTTCAAATTACTAATGAGGCAAAATAGATGATAAGAATAAATGTGTTTACATACAATATTTGGAGTAGCAACTAGGTCAAGCAACTCTAAGAAATTGTTCAATTTAAATCACTTTGATTATTATTTCACTCTTTTTTATATCTCTTTTTATAACTTTTGTCAAAATCATTTGTTAATGATCGAATTATTATCTCAATTATAGTAATTTGCTATTATATCTTATATATATATATATATATATATGAGCACAAAAAAGATACATAATAAAAATTAATACTATTGAGAATTGTTGAGAACTAAATAATAATGATTCATATAATCTATGCTAATATAAGCATTGATTCAAGGTTTTTGTCCATAATATTTTATATATTTAGTAGTAATAATTGTAAAAAAAATATTTAGTATGTACTAATAACTAATATAAATAAAAATATATAATTCTAATACTTTTTATTCTATTGAGATATTGGTCATAGAAATAATCTAATAGGCCAATTGAAGCAAAGATCTTACCAAACTCAATTATGTAGAAAGAAATAATAAGCCACTAGGTCATAAGGTTCAAATTTTATAAACAAAAATTGGTTAAATAGATTACTTAAGAAGTTTCTACAAGAATTCTTTGTCTAGTCACTCATGAAGTACCATGTTGCTTAAACTTATATGATCTAATTTTGAATAATATTAAAAAATAAAGACAATGATTAAAATTATATTTCATTTGTAACAATCATCTTTAATTTTTATCAATATCAGTTTGGAATTTTCTTGATAAATCTAGTGCTATATTGAGGACTCTATTAAAGAACTTCAATAAATTCAACCATGGAAAAACAACATGCAAGCAAGTTTATATTATAAGATAATTTTTTTGGATAATTAAACATATAATTTGTTCATACTATGTATTTTACATGGACATATTATATTTCTTTCAGCTATATGTACTTACACGCCATATTCTTTTATATAAAATTAAATATGCCTAAATATCATATCTTCAAACTTAGTACATGGTACATATGCATGTGTACAAAAACAATTGTTCACATAAATTCTCAACTTGTTGACATCTCAATCTTGAACTACAATCATAATTTTTTTTTTTTAAATCTTGATTTGAATAAAAATTTAAGTAAAAATCACAACTTTTGCTATAGAATTAAGTTTTCCATGTCTCTCACTTTTCTTTTGGATGGAGCTCAGATAAAGTCTCAAATAAAATAATTAAATATTTTTATGATACACTATTTGAATTTGAGCATATATATGATATATTAGATATTTTATATATATATATATATATATATATGTATTTTAGCCAATAGATCAACCATATCACCTAATGTGGCATTAGATGCCAAATTCTATTTGATAGATATAATTTAGTCTAATTTAGTGTGTTTTTAACCACGTATATTATTGACCTTATTATTTCAACTAGGATTCTAAAACTTAGATGGAAGAACCCTCTTGACTTGACATTCTTATCAAATCAAGTCTTCTGACTAGTTTTTTAGAGAAAGAAATTTTATTTTATAAGATCTTAAGAGTGTAATGCTTGTGTATTCTTATTTGGTTTAGATTGCATATTTAATGTTGATTTTTGGCACTCAATATATTATGTTTAACAATCTTTACTTATACAACAATAATTTTGAATTTTCTTTAGTTTTGTGTTCCTAATTTAAGTAAATAGTTCTCAAAAAGATTACCAATAGGTGGTTAGATGAGTATGGCACATCAAATAAGTTGTTAAGGTTTAGTTAGTAGTTATAATTAATCATCCTATAAAAGGAGTAGAAATCTAACAAGAAACACATTCCAAATAGAGAAATGTTGTCGATAAGAAAGGATCAGAAAGATGTTGAATAAATATATGTCTGCTTCTTAAATTACGTGTCTTTGAGTGTTCACAAAAATATATGATATATATCAAGAAAACAATCTTTTCTAGAAAGATTAATATCTTTAAGGAGATTAACAATTCCAAAAAATAAGATTGGT